TTTGCATTACCTCGCAATACTTTTGCATTACCTCGCAATATCTTTGGGTTACCTCGCAATACTTTTGCATTACCAAGCAATACTTTTGCATTACCTCGCAATACTTTTGCGTTACCTCGCAATACTTTTGCATTACCTCGCAATACTTTTGCATTACCTCGCAATACTTTTGCGTTACCTCGCAATACTTTTGCATTACCTCGCAATACTTTTGCATTACCTCGCAATATTGTTTTGCGTTTCCACGCAAAAAAAATGTTTTGTATATGAACTGAATTAAATCAGACTTTTATTTTTGAAATATCTGGTTACCAAAACAGGAWGTGTCGCCACAGTTCGTGAAATTGACATTGGTGTTGCGTGGCTGCACTGTGTTAAAATATCGGCATATAACATACTTCCATGCGTGGCTGTGTGATGTATTCATTCTGAAGCTGAATTAAAGCAGTAGGCTAACTCGCTAATGGTGAACATGTGAGTTTGTTAATAAACCAGCAGGCACAACAGTGTTTAACTACTTTTGCGAGGGAACGCAATAGTATTGCGAGGTAACACAATACTATTGCGTGAGAACACAAAAGAAAAAAAATCTCCCATGTCCCCTCGCATGCTCCGTAAAAATGACTTTGTTCTAGTTTGTGTATTTGTGTGTCAACAGAAGCGTCTGATTCAGGAGATTAAGATGGTCCTGAGGGTTCTGGTGCTCTACATCCCCTTGCCAATGTTCTGGGCTCTGTTTGATCAGCAGGTAGAAAACTTAGGAGCTAAAAACATTTTAAAGTACCCTAAAGATAATTAGGAAAGGATTATGGGATATTTTGCTAACAAACACACATGAACATGCACATTATTAGATGATGGGTGATAAAAAGTCAGCAGTGGATCTATAACAGGCAGATTTTAATGCAACTTTCAGGAAATAATCATTGGATGTTTCTCTGCAAGTTATTAAAGTTTGGAGTTGATCTGATCTGAGGTGTGTCGACCAACTGACCTTAAATAGTTATAAATGGCTGTAACTCAGTCACTTTGACCAATTGTGTGCTCATATTTGATGTGTGTGAGGTTTTCACTTCAAACTTTAGCATTAACTGATGTGGTCAACCCTGCCTGTTTGTTAGCAAAATATCTCATAAACCATTTCAACAAAGATTTCAACAAAACCCATGGGAAGTAATTCCCTGTACATTTACAACTGAGCCACTTCAAACCAAAGTTGGTTACCAATGGTGGGCACTAGCCCACTAAAGCACAAATCCACTAATTGCTGACTTAAATATTTCGTTTGCGCTTTAGCGCTCTTACAAATTTTTTATAATTGCAGATTTGTGCTTTCTAAATTTAAAATTCAGTACCACTAATAACTAATTATCTACCAGTCATCATTATGTTGAACAGCAGAAGGTATGACTGTCAATGAATCACAACACATGTGATCTAT